ACTCCAAAGTTTAGTTCCTTGTCCTGTCGAGGGACCAGTCCCCAGATCGAAGGCCTCGGTTCTTAGGACCACAGGAGAAGGTTCCCGGATGCGGACAACCAGGCGTCTGGAGCACTGAGCAGCCATATGGTCATACGAGTTGCATAACCTGCATGTCTTCCGTTGGCCTGCATAGTGAACAAAAACTTGGGTCTTGTAGCGTTCCATATGAACGTAAGATGGAATTGGCTGTTTTAATGTCATCTTGAGGGTGAAGGAGCCCTCTGGGAGCCCCTCGTATGGGCCCTCCCTCCACACTCCCTTGGTCGCTGCATGTACCGTGCCATATCTACCAAAATCTTTCCGAAGATCATACTCCTCCGCCTCGAAAGGCACGTTCCTTACTTTGACCCAGGTGACGTATGTGGAGACGTCATGCAGGCATACTTCTACGGCTGAATTCACCGCCATTTTCCTCTCTTGAAAAGCTTCCACAATCTTGAAGTAAAAGCCGGCATTTGCGAATTTCACAAAAATCCTCGACATCCCAATGAGAGCCACACCATATAATTCCTCAGTGGGGATGCTGTAGACGTCGCGAATAATGGTAGGCAACGAGACATGCATCGTTGCACCACTGAGAGAGCCATGAATGAATTCAACACACAGTGTTTACTCTTCTACCCTGACGATCCGCCATCTTGCGTACTGTAGTACACGGTTCGCCCCCAGGTGTAAGCAGGAGCAGGCTCAGAAAGCGTCCTCTCAGCCCGCAGGTTGAGAGACGAATGGTATTGAAGAAGTGAATGTTTTCAGATATTTGGGAGTTGAATTGTCAGCGGTTGCATTTATGAAGGATGAGGTTAACGGTGGAAGCGATGAAGGAAAAAAGGAAAGTGGTGCGTTGAGGTGTATGTGGAGACAAAAAAATGTTATCCATGGAAGCAAAGAATGGAATGTACGAGAGCATTGTGGTACCAACACTCTTATATGAGTGTGAGGCATGGGTTTCTTATAATAATATATCTTTATTCCTACATGTACAAGGTATACAGACCATAGCTGACATCAGTGACATACTACAATATAGAAAGCCACCAGGCCACGGGGCTGTTAAGGTGGTTTGGTCATTTAGAGAAGATGGAGCAAAACAGAATGAATTGGAGGATGTATCAATCTGTAGTAGAGGGGAGGGGGGGGTAGGGTTCATCCTAAGAAAGGATGGAGGACAGGGGGTAACAGAGGTTTAGGGTGCAAAGGACCTGTGGATACAGCAAATGTATGTCAGAGAGGAGTGAATGGAGACGAATGGTTTTTGGGACCTGATGAGCTGTTGGAGTGCGAGCAGGGTAATATTTTGTGAAGGGATTCAGGGAAACCAGTTACCCGGACTTGAGTCTTGGAGGTGGGAAGTACAATGTCTGCACTTTAAAGGAGGAGCTTGTGATACTGACTGTTTGAAGTGACATCTAAACTGTCATATCTGGGCACCTCTACTAAGACAGTGATATGTGTGAATGATGATGAAAGTGTTTCTTTCCTTTTTTGGGTTACTCTGCCTCGGTGGGAGACTGCCAATGTATTGAAAAATATATATATATATATATAATATATATATATATATATATATATATAATATATATATATATATGTGTGTGTGTGTGTGTGTTGCCGAATAGGCAGAACTTGCGATCTTGGCTTAAATAGCAACGCTCATCTTGCCATATAAGACAAGCGAAAATTTGTGTATGCAACAATTTCGCCAAAATCATTCTGAACCTAACGAAACAGAATATATTTCACTGTGTTTGTTTAGTATTAAATTATTGTAAACAAATCTAAAATATATTTAGTTGAGTTAGGCTAAAATAAATTGTTCTTGTTATAATAAGGTTAGGTAAGTTTTCTAAGATTCTTTTGGTGCAAAATTATAAATTTTTACATTAACATTAATGAAAAAAATCTATCTTTAAACGTATAACAGAAAATTTCAGAAAGGACTTAACTGTAAATGAGTTCTTGCTAATTGACCAGATTTACATATTCGGCACGACATATATATATATATATATATATATATATATATATAATATATATATATATATATATATAAATATATTATATATATATATTATATATATATATACGCAAAGGTTTCTTTTCCTGAATTAGCTGAAAAAAATTTGTTATTGCCATAAATCACCAGAAACCAGCCTAAACATAACGCTAAAAATAAATATATTTAAACTGACCTTTTCTATACCTAGTAGAATTTAGATTAGGTGACGTTTCGAAATTTTGGATCAAAAATCTAATTTTTTATATCATCCATGAAAAAAAATTGTATCACTCTATAAAAGAGTGTTTGAGAAGAGTCAAATTTTTGAGGAAGTTCGGCCTATTAGGCGCGATATTTGCTGCACATTTCGCAAACAGACGAAATTATTTACAAACATTATCTCTCAATCCACAACAGGATTCATAACCTTGGTGAACCAGTGTTCACTGTCTCTAACCTTGGTGAACCAGTGTTCACTGTCTCTAACCTTGGTGAACCAGTGTTCACTGTCTCTAACCTTGGTGAACCAGTGTTCACTGTCTCTAACCTTGGTGAACCAGTGTTCACTGTCTCTAACCTTGGTGAACCAGTGTTCACTGTCTCTAACCTTGGTGAACCAGTGTTCACTGTCTCTAACCTTGGTGAACCAGTGTTCACTGTCTCTAAACTTGGTGAACCAGTGTTCACTGTCTCTAACCTTGGTGAACCAGTGTTCACTGGCTCTAACCTTGGTGAACCAGTGTTCACTGGCTCTAACCTTGGTGAACCAGTGTTCACTGGCTCTAACCTTGGTGAACCAGTGTTCACTGGCTCTAACCTTGGTGAATCAGTGTTCACTGGCTCTAACCTTGGTGAACCAGTGTTCACTGGCTCTAACCTTGGTGAACCCGTGTTCACTGTCTCTAACCTTGGTGAACCAGTGTTCACTGTCTCTAACCTTGGTGAACCAGTGTTCACTGTCTCTAACCTTGGTGAACCAGTGTTCACTGTCTCTAACCTTGGTGAACCAGTGTTCACTGTCTCAACCTTGGTGAACCAGTGTTCACTGTCTCTAACCTTGGTGAACCAGTGTTCACTGTCTCTAACCTTGGTGAACCAGTGTTCACTGTCTCTAACCTTGGTGAACCAGTGTTCACTGTCTCTAAACTTGGTGAACCAGTGTTCACTGTCTCTAACCTTGGTGAACCAGTGTTCACTGGCTCTAACCTTGGTGAAACCAGTGTTCACTGGCTCTAACCTTGGTGAACCAGTGTTCACTGGCTCTAACCTTGGTGAACACAGTGTTCACTGGCTCTAACCTTGGTGAACCAGTGTTCACTGGCTCTAACCTTGTTGAACCAGTGTTCACTGGCTCTAACCTTGGTGAACCAGTGTTCACTGGCTCTAACCTTGGTGAACCAGTGTTCACTGGCTCTAACCTTGGTGAACCAGTGTTCACTGTCTCTAACCTTGGTGAACCAGTGTTCACTGTCTCTAACCTTGGTGAACCAGTGTTCACTGGCTCTAACCTTGGTGAACCAGTGTTCACTGGCTCTAACCTTGGTGAACCAGTGTTCACTGGCTCTAACCTTGGTGAACCAGTGTTCACTGGCTCTAACCTTGGTGAACCAGTGTTCACTGGCTCTACCTTGGTGAACCAGTGTTCACTATCTCTAACCTTGGTGAACCAGTGTTCACTGGCTCTAACCTTGGTGAACCAGTGTTCACTGGCTCTAACCTTGGTGAACCAGTGTTCACTGTCTCTAACCTTGGTGAACCAGTGTTCACTGGCTCTAACCTTGGTGAACCAGTGTTCACTGTCTCTAACCTTGGTGAACCAGTGTTCATTGGCTCTAACCTTGGTGAACCAGTGTTCACTGGCTCTAACTTTGGTGAACCAGTGTTCACTGGCTCTAACCTTGGTGAAACAGTGTTCACTGGCTCTAACCTTGGTGAACCAGTGTTCACTGGCTCTAACCTTGGTGAACCAGTGTTCACTGGCTCTAACCTTGGTGAACCAGTGTTCACTGGCTCTAACCTTGGTGAATCAGTGTTCACTGGCTCTAACCTTGGTGAACCAGTGTTCACTGGCTCTAACCTTGGTGAACCAGTGTTCACTGGCTCTAACCTTGGTGAACCAGTGTTCACTGGCTCTAACCTTGGTGAACCAGTGTTCACTGGCTCTAACCTTGGTGAACCAGTGTTCACTGGCTCTAACCTTGGTGAACCAGTGTTCACTGGCTCTAACCTTGGTGAACAGTGTTCACTGGCTCTAACCTTGGTGAACCAGTGTTCACTGGCTCTAACCTTGGTGAACCAGTGTTCACTGGCTCTAACCTTGGTGAACCAGTGTTCACTGGCTCTAACCTTGGTGAACCAGTGTTCACTGTCTCTAACCTTGGTGAACCAGTGTTCACTGTCTCTAACCTTGGTGAACCAGTGTTCACTGGCTCTAACCTTGGTGAACCAGTGTTCACTGGCTCTAACCTTGGTGAACCAGTGTTGATTAGGCGAACCCAGGAGACAGAGCTCTCTGTGATACACAGAAGTGACGACTTGGCAGACATTGCTTCGCTCGCACAACGGCAGACTCACAAAATTCAGTAGTGATGACTTCTATGGGCAAACAGAGACAAGTGTATAGGTGAATACGTTAACTTTTTGCCCAGTCTAAGCAGCCAGGTAAATCTTTTAAAGTCTCCGGTGATCCACTCAGAACACTTGTACTTGAGGAGAGAAATACAACAGTTACCATCACGTCGAGTAGTTCATTAAAGACACTGGTAAGAGAAATTAAATATATTGAAAATTATATAAAATACTGAGTAGTTGATGAGTAAGACAGCTGTTGCACATGAAGGAAATAAAAAGCTTAGCAGAGTCATTAAAGTAACTATAGAATACTTTAAGGATAGGATGGAGGGAGAGAGGGAGTCGGTATACTGCACATTGCATTGTTGATCTACTCTTACGTCTCCGACAGGACTCACACCACTGCATTACGCCGCCTGGTTTGGTAAAAAGGACGTGGTGGCCGTTTTGCTGGAACACGGAGCTGACCTCACTGCAAAGGATAATCTAGGTAGTTAACAATTATCTTTTTTTCGGAGTTGAGACCTAGCAGCAGTGTACTCACCTATTTGTGGTTGCAGGGGTCGATTCATAGCTCCTGGCCCAGCCTCTTCACCGATTGCTACTAGGTCCTCTCTCCTTGCTCCATGAACTTTATCGAACCTCGTCTTAAAACTATGTTTGGCTCCCGCCTCCACAACATCACTTTCTAGGCTGTTCCACTGCCTGACAACTCTGAAGAAATACTTCCTAACATCCCTTTGACTAATCTGAGTCTTCAACATCCAATTGTGGCCCCTTGTTTCTGTGTCCCATCTCTGGAACATCCTGTCTTTGTTCAACTTGTCTATTCAGCGCAGTATTTTATGAGTCGTTATCATGTACCCTGACTCCTGTCCTCCAGTGTCGTCATGCCAGTTTCCCTTAACCTATCTTCGTAGGACAGTTCCCTTAGCTCTGAGACTAGGCATGTTGCAAACCTTTGCACTTTCTCTAATTTCTTGACGTGCTTGACCAGGTGTGTATTCCAAACTGGTGCTGCATACTCCAGTATTGGCCTGACGTACGTGGTGTACAGAGTCTTGAACGATTCCTTACTGAGGTATCGGAATGCTATCCTTAAGGAGCCAGTTGCTGGACCAGGTTTGTAGCCTGTCCAGGTCTCTTTGTAGTCCTGCCTATTCCTCGACCGATTTGATTCTCCTCATTAACTTAACATTTGCAAACAAGGACACTTCTGAGTCTATCCCTTCCGTTATGTCATTCACATATTACAAAAACAGCATAGGCTCTAGGACTGACCCCTGTGGAACCCCATTTGTCACAGGCGCCCACTCTGACACCTCGTCACGTACCATGACTCGTTGTTGCCTCCCTGTCAGGTATTCGCTGATCCATTGCAGTGTCTTTCATGTTATGTGTGCCTGATCCTCTAGTTTTTGCATTAACCTTTTGTGAGGAACTGTGCCGAAGGCCTTCTTGCTGTCCAAGAAAATGCAGTTTATCCACCCCTCTTTTACTTCTGTCACCCTGTCATACAACTCCAGTAGGTTTGTGACCCAGGATTTTCCTTCCCTGAATCAGTGCTGGTTGTCGATTATACGCTCTCTTTTCTTTACAGGTGCTCCACCACTCTCCTGATGATGATCTCCATGACTTTGCATACTATACACGTTAGTGACACACAGGTTTGTAGCTTAATGTCTCATGTCTGTCTCCTTTTTTAAAAATTGGGACTACATTTGCCATCTTCCATACCTCAGGTAGTTGCCTAGTTTCAGTGGATGTGTCGAAGATCTTTGTTAGTGGCACACACAGCATCTCTGCTCCCTCTCTAAGGACCCACAGAGAGATGGTGTCTGGTCCGACCGCCTTTGAGGTATCAAGTTCACATAGCTTCTTCACCTCCTCAGTTATGTGTACCTCATCCAGCACTTGTTGTACTTCCCTCTTCTGATTTCCTGGAGTCCTACCTGTTTCCACTGTAAATACTTCTTTAAATCTCTTGTTGAGCTCCTCGCATACCTCTTGGTTGTTTCTTGTGAACTCCCCATCGTCATTCTTCAGTCTGATTACCTGGTCCTTGACTGTTGTTTTTATTTCTCTCTTTAACTGAATATATTGATTTCTTAACTGACCCTCTCCTCTCTTTATTCTTTTGATTTGCCTATATATGCCTCTCTTTAAACCAGTTAGATTTTTTAATCTATTGTTCATCCATTTAGGATCATTTTTGTTTGATCTAATATCCCTATTTGGAACATAAGTTGTCTAACCATTAAAACTATGCCCTGGAAAATGTCATACTGGCAATCATCACCACCTACCTGACCCTTAGTCAGGTCATTCTAGTTCAGCCCACCCAAGTAATTTTTCAGTCCTATGAAATCAGCCAAGCAGAAGTCAGGGACAGAAACTTGATTGCCATTATTAGGGGAATTTCATGATATATTAAAACTGAGTGATTTGTGATCACTTTCCCCAAGCTCATCATTAACCTCAAGATTATTAATTAGCATTTCCCTGCTGGCAAGAACCAAGTCAAGCAGGTTATTTCCTCTAGTTGGTTCTGTCACAAATTGTTTTAAAAAACAATCCTGAATCATATCAAGAAAGTCACTTGACTCTAAATTTTCTGTCAAATTGCTCCAGTCAATCTATCTATAGTTGAAATCTCCCATTAGCACAACATTTTTATATGTAGATGCCTTACGAAGTTCGTCCCATAAAAGTTTACTGCACTCCCTATCAAGATTTGGGGCCCTGTAAATCACACCCAAAATTAGTTTTTCAAGGCCCTCGAGAAGTTGTAACCAAACATTCAGTGGCTGACACGTCTAATTTTATATCTTGTCTAACAATTTAAACTGTCTGACATACATCGCTACTCCACCACCCTTCCTGTTGGCCCTGTGTGGAATAATTTATGACCTTGTATGTGACATTCAGAAGGCATCTCTATCTTCCAGTTTTGTAGATGAATGGTTCAAAGAACCGACATGATGTTAAATTAGACACATGTGCAACTCTTGGGTATCTTTATTGAGGAAACGTTTCGCCACACAGTGGCTTCATCAGTCCATACATAGGAGAAACTTGAAGAACAGGAGGAGAATGAGGTAATAAGTCCCTAACTTGAGTCGAGTGGTAGTCCATAAATTTTTGAATAAAATCGGCATTGAGGGAGAAGCACTTAAAAACCCGTATGGCAGGAGAGGGGCAGCGCGTAGGGGTGCAATTTTGTTAAATGGGAAGTGGTTGTGCCCAAGGGTTGGGAAAAGAAAAGAATTCCCAAGTATTAAGCCCCAAGAAGTTGCAGTGTTGACGGTTTTGTGAGAAGGGTTTCAAAAAAACCATTCTTTCTTCCCTAACCCTTGGGGACGACCCTCCACAAACAAATGTGACACCACCTACGATGCTGGCCTCTCCTGCCATACGGTTTATAAGCTGTTTCCCCTTTTCATATGCCCGTTTTCCCTTTCAAGATTGAGGACTGCCAATCGATAAAGGTTGAGGGACTTTTTACCTCTTCTCCTTGTTCTTAAAGTTTCTCCTATGTATGGACGTTGAAGCCATGTGTGGCGAAACATTTCCCTCAAAAAAGTTTTCCAAAGATTTGAAGTGTCAAATTTTAACAATCTACTTCCAGTTTGAGCCGGGTCTTTGTTATAGCAATAATTCTGTTTCCTGCACTTGCAATTAATTTTAAATCATCTTTTATTTTTTTAAACCCCCTGCTATTAGTTTAGAAAAACCTTAAAGGAGCTAGCCCCCTTGCTGCCCTCTGCTGTCCCCCTTTTGTTTGTAACCTGATCTATTTCTTATAACTTCATGATGAATGCCTTCATAATTTTGTTTTAAAACCCTAGTTTTTGCAACCTGATGTTTCCTACCACCCTATACCTCTGTCTTCTATCGTTTAAAACCCTTAGGCATTTCAGAAAATGGCCATCTCATTGAGTTTGCAAGTGCTACCACCCCCTGCCCCAGAGAGAGTACCCACCCCTTTTCATACATATCTGTTTCCATAAAAAGTTGTCCTTGTCATGAATGGGATTGAAAGTTATTGCATATTGTATCCCAAAATTTTACCAATTTCCCTAGACAACTATTCATTGCCCCCTCCCCTTCTAGGGAAGATGCTACTATGTTAGGACCCCTCCCCTTTGACTTAAGTTATAGTGACCCTTACTTATCTAGCAGCTTTTCTCTCCTACCCTTCCCAATATCATTCCTCTATTCCCAAAAATTTGCCAAATGGGTCATGTCATCTTTATTGTTTTTTTTTGCTTTTGACGCATTTTTTTTCCCCCTTTTCTTCTTGCTTCATAAGTTTCCCCTTAAACCTCCTGGAGCCCATAAACAAAGACTGACCTCTCCCTTCCATTCTCCCACTACATATCCTTACATATCCCCTGATTCAATTTAGTTGCCTCCATTGCAGCTTTCCTTTCTTCAGTTTCCCCACTGTTGTCCTTGGGCCCAGTGGCCTGTCATTTTCCCACCTCAGCTTTCATAAGTACATATGAAGGAACACTGCAGCAGGCCTACTGGCCCATGCGAGGCAGATCCAAGTCTTCTACCGGCTTAAGCCAATGCACCCAACCTAGTCAGGTCAGGTCACATTCACTTAAGGCAGGAACATGGCAACTGAACCAGTAGCACAAGCTAATCAGGTCCAAATCACACCCATCCACACAAGATCCCATGATCTTGTAATAAGATCCCATGATCCTTGTTACAAAGAATTCCTCAACACTTGTCCAACCTTTGGACGAAGACCTACTTCGACTAGTGGATGTACGGCCTATGCTGTACATTCTACAAGATTGATGGACTGAACACATGAACTCCAGGCTGAGGGACTGATTACCTCAAACTCCTCCTCTCCTTACACCTGCTTTGTATTGGACTGATGAAGCCACTGTGTGGCGAAACGTTTCCTGAATAAAGATTCCCATATGTTGCATAAGTGTCTCAGTCTTCAACTATATGAGCGTATGAAAAGTAGTGATTTTGTGTGTTTTGGTGTTTGAGAGTGTATGTGGGGTCTGTGTGTGCCGATCTGTGCTTCTGTACCTGGCGTGACCTGACTCGCCTGACCTGACTCGCCTGCCCTGACTCGCCTGACCTACCCACCTGTCAGTTTGTATACTCTGTGCTTCACCTGTCTGCTTGTCCTGTTCTACTAGAAATTGCCAATTACTGTTCCTTGACGAGTGCTTGATATTCTATTTTTAAACATATTAGGAGAGTATTGTGTGTGTGTACTCGCCTATTTGTGGTTGCAGGGGTCGATTCACAGCTCCTGGTCCCGCCTCTTCACTGATTGCTACTAGGTCCTCTCTCTCCCTGCTCCATGAGCTTTATCATACCTCGCCTTAAAACTATGTATGGTTCCCGCCTCCACTACGTCACTTTCTAGGCTATTCCACGGCCGGACTACTCTGTGACTGAAGAAATACTTCCTAACATCCCTTTGATTAATCTGAGTCTTCAACTTCCAATTGT